GCTAATAATTATATACTTTTCACATATTTTTCTAATACGAATATTATTATTAATTAGTGTTTATTAAAAATTGACAAGATCCATTAAATTTGTATATTTTAGTTTTTATTAAAAAAATACAAAAAAAAAATATTAAAAGTGTATTTTTAACATTTTCTGTCTTTAATATTATTGCTATGAATAATGATAATTGTGGTGTGACCTGTGACCATGACTCGCGATATTTACTTTTCACTTTTACATGACGTCATTATTGCGGTGGTTGACTCAAAATAAAAGCATCACCTATTCCATCAAAAATGATTAAAAGTACAGTACTTCCAAACCACCATTTAATAATTTCCAAGATGAAAACATAAATATTCTATAGGAGTTTAAGATAATAATAAATATATTAATACTATTTTGTTAATATAATTCTATTAAAATAGTTTACTGTTTTAATAAATATATAATTTTAATTGTGTTGATTGAATACTTTATGTGTGTAAAAAAAAATAATATATATATATATATATATATATTACATTAAAAAGTAAGATATTAATATAAAACTATAATTATGATAGGACAAATGAAATATAAAAATAGGTCAAGTTGTATTTTTATCCTCTCTATATATTAAATTCATATAGTTTTAATCCTTATATTTATAATTTTACATTTTTTATTTTATAAAATTTGTAACTTTGATCTCTTCATTAAATGTATATTTGTTGATTGTCAAATTATAATGTTAGTAGTGACTTAAAATAGTTATATAACATGATAATTAATATTTAATAATGTTTAGACTAAGTTGTACTTCTAGTTATTATTTTATTTCATTTTTTTTCTTATTTTATCATTTTATGAGATAAAAATTAAAATTAAAATAAAATTTTATTTAAATATTATTAAATGTTACATCATCCTAATTGTAAGCAAAAATTACATTTTTATTTGATCTTAATTATAAAAAAAAAAATCATTAGTTTTTGATACTCAAGATTAAATTTTTTTTTATCATTTATTTATTGTTATCTTTATTTCCATGTATTCATTTATGATTAATATTAAATATAACAATCACTTTAAGTAAATGTTATATTTATAATAAAAATTGAATTTATAATATAATTAATTAAAAGTAATTATATATTATTGATCTTAATAATTTATCTTATATTATTTATAATTAGAATCAGAGGGGTAATATTAATTAACATATAATCTATTTTGAGTTTATTTAATATTCTAAAAATATGGTATTGGATATAATATATTACAATTTTAATATCAACCAATAAATATTTAATGAGAAGACTAGAATTACGAATTTGAGATTATATTTCTTTTTAAAAAAAATACAATTTTGTTGAACAAATAATATAGTATAATAAATAAAAAATATAAAAGAGATAATAATTGTAACCTAGTAGTACTAAAAAAATTATAGAGATGCCAAAAATACTTGGTTAAGTTAAAACAAAAAAATAGTTGAAAAAATTAGACTTATTTAATCTAATGGACCGACTGACGGATTAATTCGAATCATAAAATAAATGATTTATATATATATAAAAAAATTAAAAAAAAAATTAGGTGCAATGTCAACTCGCTTTACAAGCATTAGTAGAGTTAATCCGAACCATTTAACAAGCTCACTCAGGAAAGAGAATTGTTTTAGTAAACCTCTTTAATAATGACTTTGATTCCCATCCATAAATTTAAAAGGAAAAAAAATAGTACCAAGAATATTTATTGCATCTTAAATTAATTTTAACTCATATCTTAACTAGGAACTTTTTTATATATCCATATAAGATTTATAATTTTACTAAAATGATGGACGTAATAATATACTTGAATCTCGGTGAATTTTATAGTAACTAAATCCTAACATTTAATAGTTTAACATTAATACCATTAATTAAAATAAGGTGGCTTAAGCCCCATGAGTCATGAGTCATGACCAGCTTAATCTAATTATAATCCAAAGAGAAGCGAAACCATGCTAAATCCAAAAGCTGCGGCAGTGTGAGCTCAGAAGCAATGGAAGACAATAACTTATAACGCAAATGACCTTATGAAAATAACCACCATATTTAAAAGCTTTAAATATACTATTTGCATGCGTGTCGTGCCCTTCAACGAGTACCATAAATACGTACCACTATTACCACTCTTCACTCATCTCCCATTTGATTATTCTCTTCCCACTCTCTAAGTTGTTTTACTTCTTCCACTCTTATATCTTTTCACAAAGCGCCCAAGCAACAAACTCTTGCACTCACACGCATGTGGAAAAAAGGACACATTGAAGCTTACTAGTTAGTCCAACATTCTGATGCAACCGTGCAAGCTTGTTTGTTTTCTTTGTCTTAACAAAGCAACCCCGTTGAACCTTTTTTGCCCTTTAACTCTATCCTTAAGCCACGTTTAGCATTTGCTTTAAGATAACTGTCTCACGAAAACTTGTCTTGTGCTTGTGCCTTTAAATATATATAATAAGCTCATTTTGCACTAATAATCCCAGAAAAGACAATGAGAGAGACACGTGTTCTGCTGGTTTTGCTTTGGTTCTTCTGTTCTTATGCCCCTTCTTCGTTTTGTGCAAATGTCACGTACGACCATAGAGCATTGGTCATCGATGGCAAGCGCCGAGTCTTGCTTTCTGGTTCTATTCATTACCCTCGTAGCACTCCTGAGGTTCTCTTCATTTCAATCTTTCTCTCTCTCTTTGTAATGCACACTGCACTCTTTTCTTAACTTTGTCTTTCGAGTTTGGACTTCAAAAGGGTAGTGTTTGTTTTGTTGTTGCAGATGTGGCCAGACCTCATTCAGAAATCCAAAGATGGAGGACTTGATGTCATTGAGACTTATGTGTTCTGGAACTTACACGAACCAGTTCGAGGCCAGGTTCTGTTCTGTTCTGTTAATGTTACTATTACTATTAGCATTTTTTTTATTGATTATGTCCTTCATTGTCTCTTGCATTGTATTCTGAGCGTGTTTGGATACAAGTTAAAAACGTTTTTGAGAGTTTCTCTATTAAAAATAAAAGGTATTTTTTAGTAAAGAAGTTCTGAAATATGCTTCTATGCTTGTATCTTTAGTTTTCAAACAAGTAAAAAATGTATCAGAGGGTCCAAAGTAGAAACCAAAAGTAAAAGTATGCAGCTTAGGAAAATAAATGGTCATTGTTTCACATATTTTTCAGTCTAGTTAAATCCTAAAAGCATGAAATTTGGAGGAGTATTTCTGAATGTCAATCAGAAGGCATAAATTGGTATTTTGAAACAGTTTATTAAGTTGAGGTCTTGTGATGAAATCAATGATGGATTATGTACTTTGGCTTTGCAGTATACCTTTGAAGGTAGGGCTGATTTGGTCAAATTTGTGAAGGCAGTAGCAGCTGCAGGACTATATGTTCATCTGCGGATTGGTCCATATGCATGTGCTGAATGGAACTACGGGTAAAATTGAATCCTTTCTTCGTATTTTTTTCAAGGACACTCATATCTGAACATGGACTTCATCTTTTCTGAACAGTGGTTTTCCTCTTTGGCTGCATTTTATTCCGGGAATTCAGTTCCGAACCGATAATGAACCATTCAAGGTAATTATTCCTTTCCTTTTTGTATGTCTCATCTTGCCACATCTGCTTCCTTCTATCATGTGAGATTTAATTTTCTTCAGGCTGAGATGAAGCGGTTCACGGCTAAGATCGTGGATATGATGAAACAACAGAACCTCTATGCGTCACAAGGAGGGCCTATTATCTTGTCTCAGGTTTTCCTTAAATTTTACTAACTACATGTCAAATTTTCCTTTATGAAAAACTATGGCATCAAGATGTGGAAGCATAGTATAGAGATTAGAGACAGAAGAGTGAAGACAATCTTGAATTCTTAATTGCCTATTGCGTACTTTTTAATAAGAAAAAAAATTGTCTAAAACTAATATGTACTTTCTAATGGCAGGTGGAAAATGAGTATGGGAACATTGATGCAGCTTATGGTCCTGCTGCTAAATCCTACATCAATTGGGCAGCATCAATGGCAACATCTCTTGATACAGGGGTTCCTTGGGTTATGTGCCAACAGGCAGATGCTCCTGATCCAATTGTAAGTTTTCTACCTTTAGTTCTCTACATCAAGTATTATGTAATTTTATGTCAGATTAAATGTTTACTCATTGAATTTTTGTCATTTTTATTTTTAGTACCAACAAAAAATTTTATCGTCAAGGACAAGAAATATTAATGACAGAAAAAACTCAGGGGTTAAAGACGAAAATTGGCAAAAACTTAGAAATTTAAACTAGTAAAAAAATTTGTTCAGACTAAAATTAAATATGGTCGAAAGTTAAGACAACTATAAACATGTTTGATCCTTTTATATTTTATTATATTGGCCGTCTTCCTTGTTCTTGAATAGAGCAATCTTACTGTGCTGCTGTTGTCTACACTTATCCTACAATTCCTACTTGATTGATAATTTCATAATTTTATATGTTAACTATTCTCAGATTAACACGTGCAATGGATTTTACTGCGATCAATTCACACCAAACTCTAATGCAAAACCAAAAATGTGGACTGAGAATTGGAGCGGATGGTTAGTAGAATCTTTTTCTATATAAACATTAGTTGTTTAAAGGTCATACTAAAAATATGATCTGATTGATTGTGTATCTCTTTCCTCGTTCAACCCTATTTTAATTTTTGTTGTAACCTTTGAAATTCTATGAAATCGTAGGTTTCTTTCATTTGGTGGTGCTGTGCCTTACAGACCAGCGGAAGATCTTGCTTTTGCTGTGGCACGCTTTTACCAGCGCGGTGGAACTTTTCAAAATTATTATATGGTAATGCAACCCTACGTGTTGTTTAAGGCTTTAAGCTATTCAATATAGGAAATGAGCTGATGCCACAACTTTTTCGGTTGCTTGCATGTAAACAGTACCATGGAGGGACTAATTTTGACCGGAGTACTGGTGGACCTTTTATTTCCACTAGTTATGATTATGACTCACCAATTGATGAGTATGGTAAGTCTTTCAACCTTATATCTCATTTCAATTGTCGACAACAGAGTTATATAAACTGGTCAAGCTTGCTTCCATATGCAGTCAAGAAGATAAATATACATTATTGCAGCTTGTCATCATATGCTTATGTTATATGTAGAGTACAAAGATTATAGTTAAAATATCTGAACTGCATGATGCAGGGATTATTAGACAGCCTAAGTGGGGCCACCTTAAAGATTTGCATAAAGCCATAAAGCTTTGCGAAGAAGCACTGATAGCAACTGATCCAACAATTACAACTCCTGGACCAAATATAGAGGTAATAAGGGACCCTTTTAAATTTAGGCCAGAATTTCTGGGTTTTCTTTTGGTGGCCTAAATGTCTATGAAATCCCAAGTTTTTGTCCTGAGAAATGCCTTGAAAAATGTGGAGATCCACTGGATCATTGTCAATTTGTCATAAGGTTTCCCTGGTTACTACTGCCTACCCATTTTCGTGAGTCATTTTTTATTAACTGTGGAAAAACACTATTGTCTGATGGTGCTGGTCTTTTCTTTTCTGGGTTAATACTTGTTTTATATGCTATAGAAAAACATAATGTATGCGGTTTAGTGAACAATCCCATAAGCTTAAAAATTTGGGGAGAGGAACACGAATGGTTGGTGGCAAGGATCAAATACCTTACATTTAGAGCCAATTATCCCGAAGACTTAAGTGTTGACTGACATGAATGGTTTAATTATATCTACTAACATTTACTATTCAAAACCAGGTTGCAGTTTACAAGACAGGAACTGTATGTGCAGCCTTCCTTGCCAACATTGCCACATCTGATGCAACAGTGACGTTTAACGGAAATTCATATCAATTGCCTGCATGGTCTGTAAGCATCTTACCGGACTGCAAGAATGTAGTGCTTAATACTGCAAAGGTTTGCCTCAACAACTTCCCAAACAAAATAGATAGATTAAGAAGTTACTTTCAAAATGCATGTGATTAATCTATCTACTGTTTAGATCTTTTCTTTCATTTTTTTAGTCTAAGAAGTAGCATAACCTATAGTTGTTTATGGTATGACAGATTAATTCTGCATCTACGACTTCAAGCTTCACAACTGAATCCTTAAAACAAGAGGTTGGTTCTTTGGAGGATTCTATCTCAGGATGGAGTTGGATTAGTGAACCTGTCGGTATTTCAAAGGCTGATTCATTCACAAAATATGGATTACTGGAGCAAATAAATACAACTGCCGATAGAAGTGATTACTTGTGGTACTCATTAAGGTATATAACATACCTTCATGGTTGAGAAAGCTTTCTTCTGACTTGCGATTCTCTGACCCATGGTAACACTTCATTATTTTTTATTCCTGTAGCATTAATATTGAAGATGATGCTGGTCCTCAACCTGTGCTTCACATTGAATCCCTTGGTCATGCACTTCATGCTTTCATAAATGGGAAGCTTGCAGGTAAATAAACTTTTTAAAGCAATGACCTCTGATTATATGTCTGTTTATGAGTTAAAACCCATATAATGGTGGGTCTCCAAGTAGGATTTGCACCCTTAAGCAACTCTGAACACTAGCAGTCAAAGTCAACCACTATATAGCGATCAGAAGAGAAATAACAAAGGTGGATGGTGTTTCTATCATCCTGCTATGTGTGACCACAGGCTACAGATGATAGACCAGTAACCTCAGTAGTGAGAATACTATCTAGATCAAATAACTGAAATTATGCACAGTGATAAAACTTAATATTCACCAGTTTTATCAGGAGCAGTTTAAAATATCTCACCAAATCCTAGGATCGTTAAATGTATAAAAGAGAAATTATAAACATAATGTTAAACTTGTGCATTCCTTGGCAAGTAAAATTTAAAGTAATGATATTTATACAACAAATTTCTACAACATTCTTTACAATTTAATTTTTCTTCCCATCTCTCTCCATCATATCACCCCTCTAATCCAACACTTCTCTCTGTTCTCTTCCTATCTCTAGTCTCTCTTAAATTGTAAAATTTATTGTATAAAATTGATTTATAAGGAACATTATCCCCAAATTAATCCCTTTAAGGATGTAGTGAAATAAAATCAAGGTTGATTAACAATGGATTATGATTAACTGTTCGTGAAATCTCTCTTATTTAAATGGAATATCTCATGGTTTATCTAATATACTTATCTGTAACACTATATGGGGAATTTTTTCAGGGAGTGGAACTGGCAACAGTGGCAAAGCTAAGGTCAGCGCAGACATCCCCATCCCTTTAGTGGTTGGGAAGAATACAATTGATCTCCTGAGTTTAACTGTGGGACTTCAGGTTCATCTTTTCTTCTTGTAATGTATATAAAGCATTTAGAAGTTAGAATTGAGGAAACTTTGGTTTGTAATATACATTGGCTTGTCAATCCCTCCCCATATCATGCACTTTATATCATCATGCCAGTTCTCGTTACTACATCAACTAATGCAAAACTTAATTTGCGCATCAGAACTATGGAGCTTTTTTTGACACATGGGGTGCGGGGATCACTGGTCCAGTGATATTGAGAGGTTTGAAGAATGGAAGCACTATTGATCTCTCCTCCCAGGAGTGGACATATCAGGTTAGTCTCAGATTAACTAAAGCCAGTTATTTTCTCTATCGTGTTCAATTTTGATGACTCCATTAACCGAAGAGGTTCAACTGAAATGCTGTAAATTGGATTTCGTTTCTCCTTTTTGATTGAAGTCGTTGATGGAATAACCGGTCTGAATTTTTGAGAATTCAGGTTGGCCTTAAACATGAAGATTTAGGCCCATCTAGTGGCAGTTCTGGACAGTGGAATTCGAAATCTACCTTACCAACAAATCAACCGTTGACTTGGTACAAGGTAATCATTATAAGAATGTAACATGCATTTGAATTCTCCATGTTTTCTTATGGATAAAACTTAGATACAGTACCATCGCTACTATTGGTGATATTTTGTTCTCCGATCAAAATTAATGCTTTATCTAGGTAATATGCAAAAATATTTAATAGAGTCTTTTATTATACAAATTATCGAATTGAAACTCTAACTTCAATCGAAGAATAATACCAACAGTACGTATGGTTTTACATACAAGTTTTACCATTTTCTTAATTATTCTCTCATTATTATAACTGCATAAGCAGACAAAGTCTCTTTGCACCTACTTGGTTCTCTTGGTTTATGGACTATCTAGTGTCATGTTTACTCAGCTGTGTTTGTATCTGATACTTTACAATCACTTCAAAGAAAATTAAGGGAATGCTACTATAGAACAAATGATTTTTTTGTTAACTAACGGTAATGCGTGTTGTATTAGACAAACTTCGCTACTCCCTCTGGCAGTATTCCAGTTGCAATTGACTTCACGGGGATGGGAAAAGGTGAGGCTTGGGTGAATGGACAGAGCATTGGACGATACTGGCCTACATATATCTCTCCAAAAGGTGGTTGTACTGACTCATGCAATTATAGAGGGGCCTATAGTTCATCCAAATGTCTTAAGAACTGTGGAAAACCATCACAGACATTGTAAGTGTCAGATATTCTGCATGAAAGAAATCCTGAATTGTTTGAAGAAAGTAAAGGCTATCCTGTTAGATTATTATTGAGTAACTGTTCCTGCAGATACCATGTACCGCGATCATGGTTACGACCAGATAGCAACACACTTGTATTGTTTGAGGAAAATGGAGGCAACCCTACACCAATCTCTTTTGCTACAAAACAGATAGAAAGCCTGTGTTCACATGTATCTGAATCTCACCCGCCACCTGTAGACTCATGGGATTCAGATACAAAATCAGGAAGAAAGGTAGGGCCTGTACTGTCACTGGAGTGCCCTTATCCTAATCAGGTAATCTCTTCCATTAAGTTTGCAAGTTTTGGAACGCCTCAAGGGACTTGTGGGAACTTCAAACATGGACGCTGCACAAGTAATAAGGCTCTATCCATTGTGCATAAGGTGTTATCTAGCTTCCTCTTTAAATAAGTTCATATTTGCCTTTTGTGTAGTTAATTTGACTTGCTCATTCTATTAAGCTGACTCTAATGAGTATTAATTAACAGGCCTGCATAGGATCAAGCAATTGTAGAATTGAAGTATCAATTAATTCATTCGGAGATCCATGTAAAGGAGTAGTAAAGAGTTTAGCTGTTGAAGCTTCTTGTGCATAGACATGTTGCTTCGAGCTATCCCAATTTCTAGCTGACTCGTTATTGAAGATGATCACTGGTTAGCCAATGTAAAGTGATATTCTGGTAGTAAGCCAGGAAAAAATGTCAATAAAAACAGCTTATTTTTACTTGATAAAAAAGAAAAGTCTCACTTATGCATGATGTGTGATTGGTATTGCATGTTAACTCGAAAGGAAGGTTACCAACTCACTAAACAAGAAATTGTTCCCATACATCAGTGTGAGAAAGACGAACAGTGAACAATATGGCTATTTCTGATAAGAGAAGTTAGGTTAATTAATTAAGCTGTAATGAAAATTTTCCCTAAAATAAAATTCATGGTATATGATTATATGTAGTACGTGTAATCACAATTTCATTTACGAAATCCTGGGGCAACATGTTAGGCCTTTATTTGTCTGGATACCTCACTAAGCTAGAAACCAAAATACTGACATGACAATAATTTGTTCAGGAAACTTTTATCATGATTATTGGTGATATTCACCTAGTTCTTCGTTGGTAGCAAACCACTGTAACGAGAACATCTTGAGGTTCCCTTCCCAAATACACTCAGATAAGATTTCTCCCGAGTCTGGATGATATTTCTGTGTGAAATTAAATAATTGCATGTGATATCAATAAACTTTCCATATTCACAATGCTCCTCTCAAGTTAGATTAGTTTTTCATAGATACATGCATCCATTTGATGCATGATGATAACCTTCGAATTATAACGTGAAAGCCAAATTGTTGCATAAGTTCACATCTTAATGCACCTGCCAAAGCTTGGTTCTACCTCTTCTCACTGCCAACTCAGTGCTTATCGATGTCTCACCACCAATCAGTATTGATGCACCACCTTTCCAGTTTCCCTGATAGGTAAGGGTAAATTGTTTTGATTTGGAGCAAGGCTTTAATCCTTGTAAGTTCTTACCCACATTGAGAAAGATGTAAAAGCACCCGAACTGGATTGTTATTTTTTTAATCGAGTATCACACACGCAGCCCAGTCTTGTACTGCTATTATTGATTCCTTAGCTACGTATCTCAACAACTTTTTCTTTCACTCTATCTTCACTGAACAAAAAAAGAAGGAAAAAAAAAAAAAAGAGTACTGTTTGATTACTATGATTTCAGCAAAAAAACACTACAGTTCACAAAATGGATTGATTGTGATGGGATAAGAACATATTGCTCCATGTATATATCCGTATGTCATGGTTGATGCAACACCTCAATATCCTTGCCAGATAGCAAATAAGTGTATGCTCACAAATCGCAATTTAAGGTTTTAAAACAAAGCCTTTCACCTACCTATCACTGTCTCCCGCTCCTAGACTTGCTCTATAAAAACCATCTCTACCATATCATCAATGCATCAAGTACTCATTCCCAATACAAATCCTATCACTTGCAATCCTTCCAATATCATTTAAGCCTTCATTTAACAAAACCAAAATGATGAAGAACCAGTTAGTCTTGTCTTTCTCAATAGCACTGCTACTTTCATTTTTGTATTCCACAACCACTTTAGCCCAATTATCACCAGCTTCTGCCCCTCTAAAACCACCTCAACCAGCCCCTACCCCACCAGCTGAGGCACCTAAACAACCATTGGTTCCCTCGTTGCCAGAGTCACCAAGTGATTCCACCCCTGACACTGCAGCAGCAGTTGACATCGTTGGAATCCTGAGGAAGGCCAAGTCATTCAACATCCTAATCCGTCTCATGAAAACCACCCAATTGATCAACCAACTCAATGCACAGCTCCTCACTACTAAGGCAGGTGGCATCACCATTCTTGCACCTGATGACAGTGCCTTCTCAGAACTCAAAGCAGGCTTCCTCAACTCTCTTTCTGACGGACAAAAACTTGAGCTCTTACAGTTCCACGTTATTTCAGAGTATGTATCTAGCTCCAACTTTGATACACTCACAAACCCCGTGAGAACACTTGCAGGGGCTAAACCTGGAAAGGTGGAATTGAATGTGGTAAGCTACGGTGGAAGTGTGAACATATCAACAGGTGAGGTAAACACAACCATCGCTGGAATTATATATACGGATAAGCATCTTGCTATTTATAAGGTTGGAAAGGTGCTTCTTCCTATGGACTTCTTTGCAGTGGCCAAGGCACCTGCAAAGGGGCCCTCATTGGCACCAGAACCTTCAGCAAAGGCTCCTAAACCTGATAAGGACCCATTATCCCCAGATTCCTCAGAATCATCTCAGATTAATTCCACAAACGAGAACTCTGGCACTGTGAAGATCAATGTGCATGGAAAGTGGGTGCCCCTTGTTCTTGGACTAGTTCTCATGACTCTATTCTCATCATAAACCATAATATAATCCAAGACATTACATATTATGCGGTTAATATTGGAGAGTGCTATGATTGCGATAAAGGAGTGAGTACTAACTACTAAGTACTATAGTAGTAAATTTATGAGAGTGGATTAGGGATATGAGATTGTTGTATACTTCTATGAATATGAATTTATAATGTGATATGCTATGATTGCTTCAATATAATTTTTGTGCACACTCTAACGGAGGTTGGTTCAATATTTTCTAACTTTATGATGTAATATGGAGAAAAAAAATCATCAAAACTCTGTCGGTCTGAAGGGAATTTGGTTCGAAAGAATAGAAACACAAACTTATTAGCAAACAACAGTCAACTATGTTACACGGTAACAAAGGCATAATTTGTTCGTGAACTGAATTTACAATCCTAACATATCACCTAACCAATAGCACAAATAAAGAAAATAGTCCATAAAAGTAAAATAAAATAACTTTTATCACACATTTCTTATGTTAACGAGGCTTCAATTGTAGATCTGCTATAAATATCAGAACAAGCAGATGGCCCAAACATTTTTGTTTGGGTCATATCAATTTTATTTGATGTGAATACTCGACCAATTTACAGAGTCACCGCGCACCACTCAAGTAACAGTTGCATAGATACATGCATCCTATTGATGTATGATAACCTACGAATTACGATGTGAAAGCAAAATAGTTCCACCCGTTCACATTCCGAAGAAACTAACAGGTTTGCCTTATCAACTTCATTGGCTGTGTCTCCATCTAGAACAACCGTAAAGTTGAAGACCCAAGTCTGTCTAGGACCATGGAATTCACAGTCTACCTTACCTAGGAATCAACCCTTGACATGGATCGTTGTTATTTTAGCAAACTTTTTAATGAGGCATACGCGGCTTGTTTATAACTCTATCCCCTTAAAATATACGGCCCGAAATATATGTTTCTTGTATTTCTTCCTCTACAACATGTCAATTACATGATTATATTCAATTTAAAATTCTCGAGTATTTCTTAATTATCCTTGATCCTTCTTTCACTATAATCGCGTTAGACAAATCTTGCACCTCTTTGGTTCACATGGTGTTAAGTCAGAGTATGGATTGTTTCATCTAAATGTCTCAAGAACTCTAAATGTTTAATACTTTTTACTGTTGTAAAGAATTTGAGAGCCTGTTTGGACAGATTAAAACTCCATTATTGTGGAATACGTAAAGAGTAAGCATGGATTGAAAGACTAAAAAATGATTCATATCTTTAATACGCATTAATCACCATAACTTTTTAAGGAAATGATGATCATGGGCAACAATTTAGGCCCTTATTTGTCTGGATACAACACAAAGAAACCAAAATGCAAGATGTCAACAATAATTTGATCACTAAGAAGTCTTATATTTCATGATAAATGATATCAATACTGAGCAACTAGTCCTTCGGTGCTTGCTACCCCAGATGGCCTCTGGAACTTACATAGGTCGCAAGATGTTGAAAAGAGAGAGAGAGTGTGGTACTTGTCCTCCCCACCCATCATTGGCATAGGAACCCCTCTCTTCACAGGGCTAACATACCCTGGCCTGTAAGTCTGACCCAACACTCCTTCAAAATTATCGGTACTTTTCTTAAACCTGAACTGAGTCTCCAAATGAGCAAAAACATCATCTGATGGCAACTGGTAATTGTGAACCTTGTTTTCATGCTCTCCAATAGGCTTCACACTAATGTCCATCTCAACCAAACCTGAAATTGTCACTCTCACACTGTTTGCCTCATCGGTTCTCTCCACAACCACTTCTCTTTCATCACCATTGGCCCTCCATTCAGCCTCTCCATCGGTAGGAACGTTGATAAGTTCACCATTCCATTTTATTGTGAGAGAGTCAACGCTTTCATCCCAATGAGAGACTCTATTGGCTGCAATAACAAGAGTGTGTGTGTCGAACATGACAGAAAGTGCTTGCACCCATGTGTAGTCACGAGTCCTTCCTTGTGGTCGTGTACCAATGAAGTGAGCATTGATTTGGAACTCAACATCAGAAACAATGGCAAAATTTCCTCCCTTGGCACCGTGGAAGTAGAACATCACACCGTCACCACCCACAAAGCGAGGATCATAACACAGAGAACCATACCCATCACATTTAGCCTTTCTAACTGTCAAACAAACGAACTCAACATATCAGAAATCATCTTAGAGACGAGTTCTATAGAAGTCAACAAATTAAAAACCCTTTACAGTTTACACTATCAACTCACCACTATAATATGCATAACTATATATTATCAAGATTTGCATTAATTGTGAATATATATTATTGAAGTAAAATTATAATTCTAATCGAAGAATAATACCAATAAGTTCTGTATCTAAGTTTTATCGGAAATATACACTAGTGACTAGTATAATTTTTCAGAAGAAAATTTGAGAGTCGTTTGGAACTTACCCTTGCAAGTGGCTTCACATGTGCTACTGCTGCAATTAATGAAACATGCCTTCTGCTTCTTGTTCTTCTTGGGCTTCCTCTCTGCGCACTCGGGTGGACACACGATGGTCTTAAACTCACAGGTTGTGTTTGCTCTGCAGAACCCTCGTTCTTGACCCGATGGCAAAGTTGACAAGTGGTCATAATTTGATGCTTCATCACTTTGCTTTTTTGCCTTTTTCTCTTTTTCCTTTTTTTCCTTCTTCTCCTTCTCCTTCTCCTTCTTCTCTTTTCCCTTACCCTTTCCATTATCATCACCCTTGCCTTTGCCATTGCCATTACCATTTCCATTACCATTACCATTACCATTACCATTGCCATTGCCATTTCCTTGACCTTGAGCTATGGCAGCATCCATAGCAATAAGTAAGATAAAGATGGCCACCAAGAGGCTCCACTTTCTTCCACCCATCTTAGTGATCTTATAAAGCTATTAACTTAAACCTTTGTTTTTGTTTCTTTCCTCTGCTGTGATGATTTTCAAGTACTAATTCAATGGCGCAGAGGATAGATGGAGAGAACACGTAGTGAAAGAGAACATTTATAGAGGGATGTGGCATGCAAATTGGCCCAGAAGTTCGCCTTAAGCTTTGCTGAAAGTTTGTGGTTGCTTAGTAGTGATACGTAGACTACTCAATGCTGATTTTTTAAGGTACCAAAGAGATTTATTGACCAAGTAAGCACAACACTAACTTGATGTTTAAACTGCAAGTTCAATTCCTTCATCCTATGAATGTCTATGTCCTTGGTCCTACCACGTTCTTTTGGCTAACATTAAAAAGAAACTTATTGGATCTACATAAGGTTATTAATTTGTCTCCAAGATTGAAAAACTCAGGTACATGTTGTATATATCAACCGACTCGGATTTCGGACATACATTTAATAGTCCTTAACTACTTAATAATTAATTTTTCTTGCAGACTTGGATTATTCAGATGAAAGACTTGCAATTGAAGATTATGGGCTTATTATTATAATAGACACAAGAATTGAGGAGCTAGGTGCCAAAAGGAAACATGCATAACGCCATATATCAACGTAACCTTGTTATTTATTTATTTGAAAACGATCAGCTTCAATTGTAAGCTACACGTTAACGTTATGGTTACGTTCATGGCATGTAATGAATTTAGGTTACGTTTATGTGCCAAAAGGTCGACAACATTGTGACTTAAGACTTGCGCTTTATTGGAGAGAGCATTAGCAGTGAATTTAGGTGTAGCAACGTGAGTGTGGAGTTCAGAAGAAGAAGCTTTGATTGATGGCATTGGGGTTGGAACACCACCACCTTGAATAACTTTAAGCAAGCCAATCCTTGTTGATAGATTATTTTGTATTTGTATTTTGTAATGATATATTTTTATGAAAGGAATATAATTTAATTTTATTCATTATTTTAGATAAAAATATGTGATTCAAAAATCAAATATTAATATTCTTCTATTCTAAAAATAAAGAAACAAATCTTAAAATAATTTAAATAAATTAAATTTAAAATTTTAAAACATACATAAAATATTGATATCAAAACTAATTTATTCTCCTAAAGATATTTAGATATATTTCCAACATTTTTTCTTGACTAAATATTTTTATCACTTAATTTGAGTTTGAATTTGAATTTCAAAACTTATTTTTTCTCTTTGTAATTGTTTTTTTCCTTTTATTTTGCTTGTGATATTTGTTACCATCATTCTTAAGTGTGACCTTTGACTCGAACTTCTTTTTTGAAAGTGATTTTTCATTATCTTTATTCTCTTCTTGATCATCAAACTTCTTTTTTAAAACATGCATCTTTGTAATCTTTACTTGTATTTTCATTTATAATTAGCTCATCTTCACCAAATTTAAAACAAAACACTTGCCTTTTATATGAATATTGAGCACTTCTTTATTGTTTATATCTTTAATCATACAAGTTTTATCTTCAAATAACACTTTATAGTCTTTTTTTAACAACTAAACAACACTCAACAAATGTTGGTTAGTATCATGAACGTACAAAATATCATATATTAATTTCAAACCTGAATGGATTTTAATAACAAATGTTCCTTTGTCTTTTACCACAAGGTGTGCTCCATTCCCCATTTGGACTTTAGAGATATCATTTTTGTTGAATTCTTTAAAGAGATCTCAATCATAAGTCATGATTTATATAACCATTATCAATATTTTAAGTCTTTTGAGGGTTTTTTTAGTTGTAAAGACAACATCCGTTAAATGTTAAGTCATAATAATCAGCATTACAATCTTTAACTGTTAATGATGATTGAAATCAAAATTGAAAATTCCATACATTGGAGACTAAAATTGTAAAATTAAAAATTAGAGAAATAAAATCACATAATAGACATCATAAAAAATCTAATATGTTACTTATAATTATAACTAAAAATAAATTTTATATATAAAATATTATTTTGGTTTTTCACATTTTGTTATATTATTATTGTGCCCTTAATTATTATTGGTAAATGTCTCATTTCTGCTAGTAAATTGTAATTGAAGACAGTTTGGTAGGTTCTCAATCACTCTTGTGATCAGTAAATCACTTTAGAGAGAAAAACATGCATTCTATCTCTTTGATACCTATAATAAAATAGACTTTTAGTGATAATAAAAATTATTGTAAAATTTTTATCAATATTTTTACATTAGTTATTATATGTAGTATCGCTAAAATATTTACCTGACATTTAATATTTTGTGTTATTGCCACTAAAAGTTGATTCATAATACTTTTTAATTATCATATCTCTAGTTAATGTGAGATTTTATAGGATTGTCCACTATTTATATATTCTTTAATTTTCTTATTTTTTAATTAATTATTTTATTAATAATCGATGTGAAACTTGAGTTTTTTCTTTATTTTTTTAATTGTCTTATCTCCTAATAGATGTGAGACTTACAAGGTGAAAGTTGTTCTCTACTGACATATTCTTTAATTAATTTATCTATAATCGATGTGAAATTTGGATTTTTTTTCTTATTTTTTTAATTTTCTTATCTTCTAATTAAGATATATGGAACTTGTAAGGTAAGAGTTGTTATCTACTTACATACTCTTTAATTATTTTATCTATAGTCAATGTAAGACTTAAATTTTTTCTAATAAATAATTATTGGTAATAGTAAATTTTTGTATGATGTAAATACATTTTTAGTGACTATTATATATTAATCATTAATATTTTTATTAGATAATAAAATAGAAACAATTAATTTATTATTATTAAATAATTATCAGTAATAATAAATTTTGTTGTAATGAATTATGAAAAATTAGAAGTAAAAAATTATTAAATTTATATTTTATTATGTATGTGTGTAATGTTAATCATTTTAATTTTATGATTAATAATTATTCTTTTGAAGGAATATTAGTATTTTCGAAGAGTTGCATCTAACCACTAATAAGTTCAATCATAACTACATGGATGTAAGCATTGCAATCTCAGCCACAATTACTGAAAGGAAGTTCATATGCTACTGCCCACGTCACTTGCATTTAGTGTGGCATCATGATACCATCTAGCCGTTTTTATTGGAATTCATGATTATTGCAGACCTTATCAACATTCACTTAATGAGGGGCACAAAATTTTAAGTTTAATTCATTAAATTTTTAATTCTTTTATTGTTTATATGCAATTTTAATGTAATATATTTTCTTCTTGAACTCATCATTTGTTTAATTACATTAAGCAAAATATGTATCATTCCCTTATTTCATTTGATTTTGAGTTGGATGCTATATCAACGGAAACAAGAATCCACTTGGGTGAAAGGAATATAGCACGATCTAACAATATCACGAAAGTCAAAATATATATTATAGTGGAATTTTGTTTTCGATACATACATGATCATGGAATTATATCTGTTGTTAATAAGTCTCATCCAAAAAGAGGTTAAATTGAGACTTAACAAAAGTATGACATTGAAAATAGTTGTTATTCTTCTTCTTCTTATTGACTTGTGAAATTTGCATGCATTTTTCACATGTCTTGATTGTCCACACTTGTAACATTTTACGTAAAGCCTCCACCAACATCTCTATTGTGGATGACTAGTCTTTTTGTAATAATAAGGATATAGTGGAAAATTTTGAGTGCTATTATTTTAGTCATTTTCTTATAACAATTCCTTCTTATTTTTGTCACCATTGTTGTTCTTCCTTTTGGCTAAATATACACCTTCTGTAGTTCCTTTTTGTCTTATAAGTCTTATTTGTTCTAATATCTGCAATGCATATAATATCTTTGTCAAAGTGATCTTACTTAGATCCTTTGTGTTCTCCAAGGTTGTTATTAGAGTTTCATATCTTTCGAATACTATTACTAGAATTTTTTCAACAATTCTAGAATCAAGAAGTTGTGTTCCTAGTAATCGCACCTTATTAGCAATGCCAAACAATTTATTTAAGTATTGTTTTATTGTTTCGGACTCTTCCATTCTTTATAATTCAAATTCTCTCATTGAATTTAGTATTTGCATGTTTCGAATCCTTTCATCTCCAACATATTGTTCTTTTAGGTAATACCAAATTACTTTGGCGATTTGAGAGTCATGATTTTGGTGAAAACATTTTGAGACATAGGCAAACAAATAACTTTTTGTCTTTTCCTTCTTGATTTTCCTTTTTTTTGAAATTTTATTTAGACTAGTCTGGCAGTGTGAAATTCCCAGAGATCTAAAGTCTTTAAATATGCCCTATTCTCACCACCCAAAGATCATATAACTTCCTCCATTAAAAATAGGTGAGAAAATTTGTGAAAAATTTGTTTCGATTTCCTTCAATACAAGTCGTAAGAACATGGCTCTAATAGCACTGTTATGGGTTTTTTTTTGAACTTATCTAAGGAAATGTATTTATCAAGATGAGGGTTATTTCTTTTATTATTTTTATCGAGGTGTTTGAGAGTATTTGCATACATAACTCCACAATGATAAGATATTGTCTATTTTGTGCTTAAGCCCTCATATTTTTACTTTTAGTTATCACCCAAAAGGTTTCCAACCAATAAAGTATGTGTATTTTTTAAACCTTTGTTTCTCATTTTATTTTATTGATGTGAGACCTTATTTGTATCTCAATACTTGCATCCCTGCATAATTAAATGAGAAATGTTACAAATACATTCTCTTTTGAACATGTTTTGAATTATTGATTAAAATTTTAAAAGAAATTATAAAATTTAGTGGGTTTAGGGTTTACCCTATTTAACTAATAAAAGTGTTAAAAAATGGTTAGAAAATATGTTATTATCGACAAGGTATGACATAGTTGCATGTTGTCCTATATGTGATCAAAGATTCAATTTTTGATTTGTATGTATAAAAAAAATTGTTAGGAAATATAGTCTTTAGATGAATCTTACTATCTTGAATTGATTAATCTCACAAACTCTTTATCTCTCTTATTAGAAATGAAACAAATGAGTATAAACATAGTTGTCATATGATTATAATATTCTTTTTTGCAAACATTAATTAAATATAATAATAAAAAGTAGAAAGAAAAATAATTAATTTTATAAATGTTAAGGATAATTTTGAAAGGAAGCAAATCAAATTATTAACAAAATTAATGTTATTGAGTAAATTAATCAACTTTCTTAAAAAATGTAAATTAGTTGAAAGGTTGCAAGTAAGGAAGCTTAAGGAAGAATGTAATACATAACAAAATTAAAATATGACTTAATTGTTGACCAAGCTAAAAAATGAAGACTTAATTTATGTTCTGATGATTATAATGAGTGTTTCTCATGTTTAAGAGAGTGCAAATTGTATTAATGTGTGTTTATACTTTGTTACGCATGTTTGCTTTGTGCATTGTAAGTAACTTAGTTATATATTTCTTGTTAGATGGTGATTGATGATGAAAATATTTTTAAACTAGTTTTAAACTTGAAAAATCAATATTTTAAGTTTGTCACTCAAAATAATCGATTATCCACTTATAATAATTGATTATTTACATTGCGTTTTCTCATTCTGATAAGCTCACTATGATAATCGATCATCATTGTACAATAATCAATTATTTCAAAGTCAACACTATGTGATAATTGATTATTCTAGTAGATAATCAATTAAAGTGTTATTGTTTGGTTTCCAGATTTGTCAAGAACAAAATAATCGATTATCTACAAAAATAATTGATTATTTCAATCAGAGAGTTTTATAAATACTAGTTTTTGAGCTAAAAAAAACTATTAAAATATTTGTAACTGTGTGAAATCTTTTGTGAAAAAAACTCTCTAAAACTCTCTGTTTTCTTTGTATAAGAAGGGGTTAAAGAATTATCATCATTCAACTAGAGAGAAAGACTAAATTATTATGATTTTGATTCACCTCTTTAATTGATTTTGTATCCAGGTGAATTCGTTTTAAAACTCTCTTTATCATTGCTCTTGAGTAGGTTTCTCAAGATTGAAGGTTTTGTAATGGATGACTACAAGGAACATTTCTTGGGGTCCAAGAAATGAGATTTATTTTCTTTATGGGTCCAAGAACTTTGCTACACTTATACAAATTTTTAAAAAAATTAGGCCCATATCTGCACTAGCCAAATGGATCGATTTGTGAACTTGGATTTATGATCCACCCCTGGGTGTAAATGACAAATGAAGAAGGTGGGTAGCAAAATAGGTAGAGAGCAAGCAACAACAAAAAAATGGTGAATAAAAAATTATATTATTATCGACAATAATTTGAAATTAGATAATAAGTTATAAGAATATTTATTGATAAAAAAATTATAAGAATATTTAAGAAAAAATATAAAAAATATTTTAGAAAACAAGATATATTTATTAATTATGAGAGGTGTAAAGAGGTATTAAAGTGAGTCAACTCGGTTTATATAGATTGTCTCACCCCATGGATTGATACCTTAAACAAGTCAACTTAACTTGACTCATTTTTTGGTGAACTAGAAAAATTTTAACCTGATTCGACTTACCACAAATTGATATGTTAAGTGGGTTGACTCAAGATTTTTTTAAAATAAAAAATATTAATTACATGCTCTTATTTTTAATAAATAAATTAGTTTTTTTATTATCAAAAAATGAAGTTTATCGTTGATTCAAATGCAAATAAACAAGAAAATATCAATCAAAATTTTAAATGATAACTACATAAAAATAACACATAATTTTTTATTTATTTTAATTATAATGGGTTAAATATATTAATTTAGTTTACTTAGGTTTGAACTCGTTTGACTCACGAGTTAAGTGAGTTAAGTTATAATTTAGTTAAAATTGGTAGACATTCTTTTCCTAACCTGACCTAGACTCATAATAACAGAGTTCATCCATCGAGTTTAACTTACTTTAACACCTATAAATTCATTTATTTCATTTCCTTGTTACTCTCTAATTTATGAAATAACCACAATATTTTACAAATTTTACATGAATTATAATTCAAAACCCAGGTTTCGTTCATAATTAAAATAATTATACTACTTGTCCAAGGTTATATTTTATCATATTGACAACAAATTAAATTTATATATATATATATATATAATATTGATTTATGTTATTTAATCACTAACTTAATTATCGATTTGATCAATTATCTATTGATCTAATACTTCGATTCTTATAATACTAATTTCGATTCAATTGGAATGAAGTTATTTCATTTTAATTAGTGATTTTATTTTTTTTTATCCACAATAATATAGAATACAATCCAAAGAATTTGTAATAACTCGTATATCTTATTTAATCATATGAGTTAAATCCCTTAATAGTAGTAAATATTTTGAATTTTTTTATCACTCATAATAATTCTGTTTAATTTTAAAAAAATTGCCTCTAAGAAATAATACTTGCTGTATAAATAAAAAACTAATCTCCACCCAATTTAACCAAGTATAAGCAAATTGAGTAAGAAGAACTCAAACCGACCCAAATTGCGACATTATACTCGATGAGTTACGTTTGCCTCTAAACTTTTACCCTAATTTTTTAATTATTTACCGCAATTTAAACAAAAAAAAAGACAAAAAAAAAAACGTTTTTAATAAGTGGAAATATATTTAATTTTCAACACTTGAATCAACTCATACCAGATTGTTTAAGTTTCACAGGTAATATTAATATACAATTGTAGTAAAATACTTAAAAAAAAAAAAAAAAATAGCACGTATAATCTGGTGGTTCCACATTAATCTTGTTTTTCACTCTTCACTAAATTCTCCTCTTCCCGCTTCCCAATTCCACTACATCACCCCATCTCATCACTCACCTTTCAAATGTTTCCTCTTTTTAATTTAATTAATTTCTTCGTCTAGGGTTTTCGAATAGGATCCTCAAATACGATTCGGTTCTCGTCTTCATTTTTCCCAATCGAATTTACGAGTTAGGGTTTTTGGGTCACCGAAAAGCCCTCGATTCCCGCTAGAAATTTAGGTTTTCTGGAGCTGGGGTCACAGGGCTATCCCACTTTGCCATTCTCGCCTACAAAAAAGAGGTATCTTTTTTAACATCGGAATGCTTATGTCGTTTTCGTTATTATCAATTGTTCTATGTAAACTTATCAATTTTGGTTTATACCATCGTCATCCATTTTTTTTTAATTAATGTTTAATTTTTCAATTGTTAAAATTTTACCCTGTTCCTCTTGCATGCCAAAGGTCAACGAAACCTGCTACGATCGTTATAAACTGGAGTTATCAGCACAATGTTAGATGTGAATCGTAGTAGCGGGTTTTATGTCTTTAGTCGTGTTCTCCACCTTGCTGAATGGCACCCATTAGAATAGCAACGTTGAGTGGGGCCTGAAGCCCTTTTTCCTTCCTCTGATATCTGGTAAGATAACCTTCTCTTCAGTGTTTCTTTCATCCGTTTGATAAGATGATTGGTTTTGAGGATCTGATATGTTATTGTTGCTGGCATAGTAATAGATTTTTTTTTTTTTGTAGATTTTTTAATTTTTAGGCCGAGATTCATCAATAACCTTTAGGGTCCATGCTTCGGACGTTCAATAAGACTATTGCTTTTGCCAATGCGATGGGGTGTTGTTGTTGCTTTGGGTTTTTGAGGACATCGAACCATCGACGTCAAAGGTCTAAGCCTGCCATAAACAATAATATCTCCCAGGAGCCTCTGTTGGATGATGACATTGAAGATGAAGAGGGTGAGCATTTGTATAATGATGAGGTTACTGACACTAGTGTAAGTGGAGATGATAATGATAATGAGGAGCAAACTCGTCCCAAGCGATCAGAAGAAATTTTGAACTTGAGAGTAGAGAATGGCATGATTTGTAGGCAGTTTCCCGTTAAGGAGACTCACAAAGTTGTTCGCATGGAGGTAATATTTTTATGGGAATAGGTTTATAGTTTTTGCTGCAAGAGTGATTTTGAATTTTCTTTTGTACAGTAAAACATCAAATTGTTATGTGGTGTGTTTATTATGAGCTGAAATATAATTTATGATATTTAATTTAAATACAGAAGGAACTGTTATCAATTTTAATGGAATGCTACATGTTACCAAGGGGGTCTAACTCAATTGGTTGAGCAAAATACGTGAGTTGTTGTAAATCTCTTGGTACTGTGTTTGATTCTGATGGATAAAAGAATGGAATGCTAGTATGTTACATGTCAAAGGAAGTTCGGATTTAACTTTCATATGTTACGTACACCAGTTTTAGTGATAGACATGTTATGACTAAATATTTGAAATGTCTTGGGTCATTGTTGTTACTGTGTTCTCTGCTTCACCTGAAACCATACATTATCAGTTTATATCAACAGTATTTATCTTATAATGAATTGTATATTTCTCTCTCACACAAACAAGTTACATGTCTTTTCCCTTCTGAATGCTTATTTGTGTCTAGGAAACACTTTTATATTGTAGTGCATATTTTTTCCCTCAGGACCTATAGCCTTACCGAACTTTTATTTTCCTTTCAGGATGAAAATGGGAACAAGATGATAAATGAGTATATACGTGAGTGTAAGATTGGTTCTGGTAGCTACGGGAAAGTGGTGAGTGTAGTATTCATGGTACATAACTACTTTTCTTGTCTCAATGAAAACAATTTTACTGAGCCTCTTTCCTTACATGCATTACAGGCTCTTTATCGAAGCTCTGTTGATGGAAAACATTATGCAATTAAGGTAAGGAAACATTTTTGGTAGGACAGACAGATTACTGTAGGAAACATGGCCATATTGGCCTTTTTTTATTTTTATTATATACAGGGCTTTAATGTGTTATTTGTGTTCCAATAGTTATTTAGACAATAATGCACTTCGTCATTTTTTGAGCTGAAAATCTTTTGAATTGAAGGCCTTTCATAAATCTCATTTACTGAAGCTTCGAGTTGCACCCTCAGAAACTGCCATGACAGATGTACTACGTGAGGTATATTTCTTCATATTTTTGGTTTTCTTCATAGTCTGAACTCTGAACTGGAAATATGATTCAGACATGAATATGTCAGTTTTTTGTTAAATACATAATATATTCCCTCTTACCTGCCACTTTATTGTTACTCTTCATGTTGCATCTATTTTTTTGTGATTCTGTTTGTACTGTAGCATCCATTTAGGTCACTTTTAGAAAGTAGGCATTCTTTCATTCACAAAATTTGTTCCTCTCTTTTTTTAAAGTAAATTCTTTTGCTTCCTGGTTTTTGTATTTATGATATGCATATGCTTTAGTTGTTGTGCTACTGTCCCCATAGCGTGTCATAAGGCCAATGCCATTTTTCTTTCAGGTTCTCATAATGAAAATGCTGCAACATCCAAATATAGTCAATCTCATCGAGGTGATTGATGACCCAGAGTCGGATAACTTCTACATGGGTACTGATGACTAATTTCTTGAGTTTAAGTGAAGCAGAATATTACCTTTGAAGTTCTGTTCCTGACTGCTGATTTTTCTTGTACAGTACTTGAATATGTTGAAGGCAAATGGGTTTGTGAGGGTTCAGGTCCCACTTGTGGCTTAGGTGAAGAGACTGCTAGGAGATACTTGCGTGATATAGTTTGTGGATTGATGTATCTCCATGCTCATGTAATATAACTACCTATCTTTTTGTGCTTAATATTAGCTAAGGCTCTATTATACACATTTTTTTTTGCATATAAATGGAAATATATGATGATATTCATGCTAAACAAAAAGAAAAATGCTTATAACTTATAATATGACATATAATTTATGTTAGATGCTCATACTCTTATTTATGGAAATGCTTTAAAATAGTTTCATACTTTGATCAATTTAGTGATTTTTTCCCCCTGAAATGCAGAATATAGTACATGGGGATATTAAACCAGATAATCTGTTGATTACTCGTCATGGTACAGTAAAGATAGGGGATTTCAGTGTCAGCCAGGCTTTTGAGGTAATGTAATTACTGAGCCCAAATGTAGATTTGATTACTTGAAATGAATAATTTTGAAGTTGATGAGTTTACATGGGGCATTAGTGTGTCTTTCAACTGCAACATGGGAAACTTGTCTTTTGTAAAATGGAAATTTGATTGCACATCATGTGGAAAATTGAAATGTGCTTACTTGAAAGATATGAAACTATGAATGCTGACTAATTTACTCTGTCAAGTTGAAATTAAAGCTAATGACTATAGAAGCCTCTTGTCAACTTTGCTTTGTTGAGCTATATATCATGGGCCATAGCTCCTTGTCAAAAACATCGATATTGGATTATTATCTTTAGATTATGCTCCAATGATCCAGTGGGGGAGAGGGAGGCTGCTATTAAGGTTACCCCACTATTGACCCAGACATTGTAAGAGGGTTCCCCTTCCCTCTCCTCTAACTTTTTCCCCTTTCAACTTTTGCAAATTCATGTGGTTCTGACTGCACTCTTGCTAATACCGTAACCATACCTCAAATTTTGACCCTCAATTTTCTTCAAGCTAGTATATCAGAAGCTGTAACAAGAAAGATTAGCTAATTTAAGGATGAGGGTCAAATCATAGGAACTTGTGATTTTTTCCAAGAGGGATTAATCAATCATACAATATATTTTGGCCTATTGAGTTTACATAATTTATGCACACATCTTGATAGGAATTTTGCATAATTCATAACAATTCATTTTATTCTTCCCAACTTTTCCATCAAACTTTAACAGTTTCATTTTGCAGGATGATAATGATGAGCTTCGTCGATCACCTGGCACTCCTGTTTTCACTGCACCAGAATGCATTATAGGTTCGTTTTTCTTTTCAAGCTTGTAAGTACTGTTACTGTGGAGTTGAAGTACAAGTTCTCTCATTGCTGTTTTGTGCCTGGATATTTTTTAGGTCTGACCTATGGTGGTAAAGCAGCAGACACGTGGGCAGTAGGAGTTACTTTATACTGTATGATATTGGGCGAATACCCTTTTCTTGGAGACACACTTCAAGATACATATGACAGAGTAAGAAATGCACACATGACAGGGCATTCGGTCTTATTTTTTGTATTGCCAGTAGACATGTTTTTATTATAATTACAACAAAAATGTCATTCAGTTTTATGAAGTTGTTTTCACCTTTTCCTTTACAAAATTTGTAAACTAAGAAGCAATGTGGTGTATCCCAACACCTAACTTCATCCCGGTATTATACATGGCACTCATGTTTTACTCGTGCATATATCAGTCTTAACATGCTGTTTTCTTCCTGATCCAGATAGTCAATAATCCTTTAGTACTCCCCAGTGATATGAATCCACAATTGAAGAGCTTAATAGAAGGCCTACTTTCCAAAGGTATACTATACATGACACTCATCATTTTTGTCATGTCACATGACTATATTTTTCTTGTTAATGGTTCAGTTAAAATTTGAAATCTGCAGACCCAAGACAAAGGATGACTTTGGATGATGTTGCGGAAGATATCTGGGTTATTGGAGACCATGGGCCAATTTCTGAGTACCTTTGTTGGTGCAAGAGGAAAAGCTTGGGAATGGAAGACAATGAGAGCAATACCTACTAAAATTTTTTCTAGCTTGCATCTATGTACATTGAATAGTTGTGATTTTTTTCTCCGTTAGATTCTTCGCCGATTTGGTATGATTATAGAGGCAATCTTGAAGGAATCTTAAAATTTAAGAATATATTGGTCATGTAGGCATGATAAGTAGCAGAGGCAGAAAAATATTGGTTATATTCTTTTGTGAAAGAATTTGGTGTCTAGAAGTAGAAACTGAGGCCTTATGCATGAAATGAATTGAGCTCCAGCTTCTAGGCACGTATGTTTATTTTAAACTTGCGCATTTATTATTACGTGGGTTGTTTTGTGTACGGTTTGATCCATATTTACAAAGCTCTATTAAGGTGCATTTTTGCTAAATAGCATGAGTTGCGTCACAAATTTAGAAATGGCAACCCTAGATGTGCTGTTAGATACGTGTCGATCTGATTATATTCTTTTGTTGTGAATCATTAATAATTAATCGAGGATAGCAATTAGCACAAAAGAAACAGCTTTATAAATTCTGATTCTGATGTCACGTGGTGAAGAGCAGCTAGCATGTTCTTATTCTATATGCTTTTAATGATAAAGGGTGAAAAAAGCACCAACCAAAAAAAGCATTTGTCGCCGTTATTGTTATTATTATGTAGACTTTTTCCTCATCTGCATGTGCCTCAAAGTACAAACAGACAAAAGAGGGATACATTTTGATGGTTTCATATCATCATCAGCTACTAGGAGCATTGTGTTTTTATACTTTTCAAGCTAATGGAGATGTTTCATTTATGTGGGACGAACACAACCACTTACAAAGAGTGGTAAATATATTCGGAAAAAGATGCTCCCTCATAAATTCATCAGAATTTTGATTTAAATAATTAATCAAATTCTGTGTTGGTTTAGCCAGCCTGTGCACCCGAGAAAAATCGTACTATAAGTGGAAAAGGCAGAGAAAATTACTTAAAAAGTAAAGTTACTAATCGAAACAGACGAAAAACTCTATCTTGGTATTATGATGAAAATTTCCTCAGAAGACAAGGAGTTCCTCCCTTTCAGAAACAATTTGGAACTGAATTTTACTCTTGGTCATTTTAAAGTGTAAACTCATAAGTATAAATAAATTATTTTAAAATTAATTATAACATGTCTTCTGCTTTTTTTATTTTATTATTATAGTATTATAATGTTAATCAATCATTTAAGTATTATTTGTTATGTATTAAGTGTCTGTTTGTTTTCAGGTCACATCCAATAAAACATAGATCAATCCAAAACTAAGAATACTTGCGTCTCGATCAATTTAACGTTTTAAACATAATTTTAGAGTAAAACGTGAATAATAGACGTAAATCCAATGATGCACCAAGTTATTTTGATTATGAAAACTTTAGAATGTGTAGTTGGCATGGATGTGGAAGGGAAAGGCAAAAGTACAGCGAAGAAGAGGGACCACGTGACGCAGTGAGATTACTAATACTGTGTCAGGTGAGGCACTCTGAAATCTGAATAAAATGAAGATGAAATTTCTGACACTGAATGAGAGGCACTACAACAAAAGAAGAACCACCCTTCCCAATCCCAAATATCACATTCATAAATAATTCTTCAATCACCTCACTCAAATGCTTGTGCTACTATTAATTACTTCCACCTGCTTCCACTTCTAAAATTATACCAACTCCACTACCACATATTACTACCTCTATATTTTAACGTTTCTTACGCCATTTTTCCCCCAAATATTTTGTTGAAAATATAGTATTTTTACATTTGTTGGTACAATTTTTATTTTGGAATTTATTGGAAAAAAAATGACGTTAGGACGTTTTGTTTAATTTTCACTTTTATGATTTTTGTTATGAAAATGTTTGAATTTATCTCGTAACATATATTCACCTTCATTCTTACTCTCTTCTTATCTCTTAATCATTTTGAATTTTGACTTATATTCGTTGAAATATTAAATTTCTAACTACATATACAGTTTTTGAATTTTGAAAACAATATATTTTTGTTATTTCTAGAAAAAAATGTTAATTAAGAACAGACTCTTTTTTTTTTTTATTATTGAATGTGATTCATGCGGATCTTTCTAAAGAATGTAAATCTCTTTTTACTAAAATGCGATGTGATATATATATATATATATATATATATATATATTAAATAGAGTGCATGATTATTAAATATATCTTATATAATTATTAAAGAAAATTAAGCTGGTAATAAACAATTAACATATATAATATCCGCATTGACTCCTATTCTTTTTTAACTGCGATTAATTTTAATAATGTCGCAACCGACATCGCGACGGGACAGTAAAAAATAAATTAAAAAAGAGGAGTCGTCACTAACGTTATTTTTTTATAGAAAAATATTGAAAAAACCATAAAATAAAAAATAGTCTACGAAAACTAGATTTTTGAGTTCGGGAGTCGATTACGTGTGAGGAATGTATTAGCATCTCACAACGTTCGTCCTAAAACGATTACCTTTAATTAATTAAACAAATTAATTATCATTTATAAAATATTTATCTCACTAAAATGATTAAATATATTTTATTTAACTAATTTAACTAATGCATTAAAAAAAAGATTAAAATTATTATTATTATATAAAAAGGAAAATAATATATTTTATATTTTTTGACTCGACAAGATTTATTTCTTGCTCCTACGTATCTTCATGTGTAATGAAGAATCAGAGTCACGTAGTTTTTTGTAGAAAATATTTGTATGTTGATATTTTTAAATTAAATTTTATTTTTGTTAAATATAAGATTCTTGAACTGTCTCAGTCCATTCACCTCAAAATATAAAATTGACTAGGGTGTACACCAAAGTCAATTCAATAAAATTTTAATTATAATTATTGCTAGGGATGTTATGATATTAAAAAATTTCTTGGTTGGGCATTTTTATTTTTGGAGAAAAAATTTAAAGATAAGTTGTCACAACTTGTACCTTAAATTCAAAGGTTAAAAAGATGTCACATCTAATTAACCATTCCTCCAATAGAATTTTTGATACAATAATTTCAGATATTTATATTAAATATTGTAACTCTATATTTTGATATTTAATCACATTTTGAATTTAAATAAGACTTTAAGATGACAAATAATAAAAAAATGACAGATATTACTAATAAAAAAATAAAATAAAAATAAAGAAAATAAAAATAAATAAATAAAAAGAAAGTGAGTTCGATATATTCACTATTCTTCGCTCAAGAAGTGGTAACTTGCTGGGCTCTTCCTCTGAGCTCTCTCTAGTCAAAAGTGGAGATGTGTGTGTGTGGAAAGCCCAAGGGCCGTTATTTATAGACTTTCAGGAGTGACCGGAACGGCCCGTTCTGAATTCAGAACGGCCGTTCTGGGGTTGTAACTTTACTCACAATGGCCATTTTTTGAACGGCCCGTTCCGGGCTACTAAAATCATATGAAAATTATTAAATTACCCTCCATAAAAATATAAAAAATGAGGTGTTACATTTAGCTTCCATATTTTATCTTTTTATTCTTTCTTGTATATACTTTTTTTGCTAATTTTTTTAAAACAAAATTAATATTTTTCGGACGAAATTGGGTTACTACAAATAATATATATACAAAAATTGCAGTAAATTATGTGCAACCTTTAAATGCACCCTTCTCATTTATAGATGCAATGCTTGTAAGTAACAACTAATTAACCTCATCCCAATTAGCATCAGAACTATAGTGAATTATTTATTTTTCAATCAGATTTAATATTTAATTAGCATGTCCAAATTTAAGTCGCATGATTCAACATGCTGTTAATTATATGCCTGTCTTTTGCATATGAATTTTGAAATACCATGTATCTTTGCATAAGAAATCTTGATTCAAATCGGTTTATCATAACAGTCACAACGTTAATTATCATATGCTAGCACAAATTTTGTGAGGCACATAGATTTATCTATGTCACTCAAAACATATTGTACTCTCTCTCCGTTGTGAGGGTTGAATGCTAATGAATTCTGTGAACCAAAAGCAGCACCATTTTCATATGCAATCTTTGTCTAATAAGAATGCAGAACCGTACCAAACATTTGCACACATACAAAGGAAATTAATTACGTACGTGTCAAATATTAATACACCACATGTCACCAAAGCCCAAGTTGTTCTCCGTGACCTCGACCTCTTCAAAAGAAGATTATAAAAACTAATAAAAAAATTGAGAGCGACAAATATATTTAAGCTTTATTTAAGTCTATCTTGTTTTTGATGGAGTTTGAGATAAAGATAAGATAAAAGAAAAATAAAGATATACTTATAAGTACGTATTTTAGTTATTTTAATGAACTTACTTCGAAGTAAAATGGTACAGATAATAATAACTGTCACGGACTGTGGCTTATCTTGTTTTGTTGGAATGAGAGCTTAGAGGACAGAAAACGAGCCTAACGTTAACGTATACTCCTACTCCTTAGCCAATTTATTATTTCAACATGCTTTAATATGTTTTTAATTTCTTATAATTCATGCCTTAGCTAATTTTAATTTATGAATAATTTATTTTGTTATAATAAATGAGTTTTGTATGAATAACATTAAAAAAAATTGAAATAATCTTTTTAAATATAAGCCATAAATTTATCGATAGACTAAAAAGTATTTAATTTATTTTAATATTATAGTATGTAATGTTACATACAATAATTTTATCATGTGGGGGCGTTAGGTTGTGCCACTTGACGCTCGTGCATAGCCAGCGTATATAGAGACAAAAAATTGCAAATCCTATTTTGGTGTTAATTAGTACAGAAGGATGAAAGAACTAAAACTAAATTTAAAAAAAAAAAATAATAATAAATTTGATATATAATGTGATGAAAAATAGATTAAAAATTCGTTGTAAGAAAGTGAAGCATATATTAATAAGTACTCGCATAGAAACATAGCAATGAGCCATGAAGCACACAAATTAAGAAACATATATATAACCATAAAACACAGCCTTTTTGTTGTTTTCTACATCGCAATGATTCATTGAAACGATCGAAATGGATATAAATATTTGGACATCACTTTAAAAGCTTGTAACTGGTTAAGGATTTGATTGTCACAAGCATTTTCAGTGGCTAGTAATATTATGTGGCATTAAAAGGTTGGAGGCTTTTGAGGTTGAAACCTGTGGGCATTGTTATTACGTATTTTACTTTTACTTTCGCATTCACATGTCTCCCATTTGGAATTAATGAAAAAAAAAAAGTATTAATGTTTAATGTTTACAGGATATACAATAATTATTAACAAAACATTTTATGAATTGTTTATATAATAAAGACAAGTTATCATATAAAGTTTGAATTGTAGTGCG